TGAAAAGAATTCACACACACAACTCTCTCAATATTTCTGAGTATCAGTGGTTATTGACATTAACACTGCAGTCTAACTACTACTGCCAATAATATGAGAATATTTCAGCTGCCCTCAGGCTTCATAATTTCAATTCACTGATCTCAACTGAGCCTCTCAAAGAGCTTTATGTTTTTATTCAGAGAAGTAGTGGAGGGAATGCTGTCACTGCAGACTTTGCTGGCTAGATAAGCAAAAAGATTTGCTTCTCCAGAGCAAACACTCTCATAAGCACTTCAGCTATCAGCAGCTAAGCACACAGAGATGGAGGTGCCAAAAGTGACAAACTGTGGCACACCCACAAGTGAGTGTCTGCCTCCCTCTGCCGGATCTCAGCTGTGTAGCTGAGATGGCCCCAGCATTGGAAAATGCATCCAAAAACCACACACAGGCAACTTTTGTCTCAAAACTCTGCTCTTTGCATCATTTATGTCTGTCTATTTACGTCTCCATCATTTATGTCTGTGCATATGCAGAGCAACTGCAACTGCACCCAAAAAACACACACAGACAACTTCTGTCTCAAAACTCTGCTCTCTGTGTCATTTATGTCTGTCTACATGCAGAGCCCAGGGTTAAGTGTTTCCAGTTTTGGTACCGAATTTTCCAGGCCAAAGGTGGAAGGCAGGTGTGTGAGCTGTGTGTGACACTATAAATAAGGCACAGGGATCTTTGCTAAAAGCAGAATTTTCTCACCTCTCACAGCATGGCAGTCTTGATGGGCAGAAAAGAACTGTCTGAAATTCAGCAAAGGCCAAAAGGTCCTGCAGCAGGCTGGGGGCCAACCTGCTGGAAAGCAGCTCTGGAGGAGGACCTGGGGGTCTTGGTGGACAAAAATCTCTGTCCCTGAGCCTGTAGTGTGTCCTGCAAGCCAAGAAGGCCAATGGCATCCTGTGGGGCATTTTCCTTCCTTCCACCCCCAAATATTGCCAGCACGTCATGGAGGTGATTCTGCCCCTGAACGTGAGGAAAAACTTCTTTACTGTGCAGGTGACTGAGCACTGGAACAGGATGCCCAGAGAGAATCTTGTTATCAGACATCTGCTCTGATCAGTGTTTATTTCAAATACCTGTGTTCCATTTACAAAATATGCAACCTGTACTGGGATTGCAGTGGTACTGGAATTTTAATTATTGGGATTGCACTGGTACAGGAATTTTAATTATTTAGGCACATTGCATGTAACGCAACTCTGACTTAGAACTCTAACCCTTAACACTGTGCTTTAAAATAAAATACTGAGTGACTCCTGCCACTACTTTTCTGTCCCCATCACTTTTCAGGGCACTGTCACTCTGGTGACAGCCAGCACCTGTAGATCTGACAAGTTCCAAAACATTCACATCAGCATTGCCTCACAGCTCAGAGCACTGCACTTAAAAGTGTGCACAAGTTCTGCTTCTAGAAAATCTTTTGGGTTTATTCAAGGGAAGGATTGAAAAATGGAATTTACTCCAGAGTACACAGCAGTCCCTTCAGGTACTGCTGAAGCCTGCTCAAGGCTGCATTAGTAGTGCAGTGGGATTTTCACCCCTTTTTAAGTGAATTTATTGATCTTGAATAACCTCCACAGCCCCTGCAATCACCAATACTTTATCAACAGTACTGGTACAGCACCGCTATTACTAGGGCTATCCAGAATACCTCAAATCAGCTTAAATCCATGCCAAAAGTCCTCCTGCTGGAAGCCTGAGAGGATCTTTTTGGCTCCACAGAAGCAATCAGCAGTGCCCTCACATTTTGCCTAGGGCTGGAGGAGGGTTATCATATTTAACGGAGAGAAGCCAGGCTAAAGAAATAATTACCAACCACTATTGGTCCCATCCTCAAATAAAAACAAGCAAAATGGAAAATTCTGGGGAGAAGGTGAACACCTATCCCCTACCCACCAAAACCCCCAGAATCCTCAACAGCAAACATGCAGAGCATCAGCCACCCATGCACAACCACCTGAAGATGAATTTTCCCCTCATTTAATCACCAAAACCCTTCCGTTGTCAGTATCTGGCTTATTTCACTCACAGCCTTGAAGAAAATCCTCAAAAAGTGGAAAACTTTTAGGACAGTTGAAAAATTTCAACTAAAAGTTAAAAACTTTTAGGACAGTTTCCTCACTTCCTTTAACCAATGCTATTTCCAGAGTTTACTGCGCCCTTTCAAACACCCATTCTTGACCCAGAAATAAAACCAACAGGTTGAGGTTTTTTGGGGAGGATGGGTGGGTTTTGGTTTGGGGAATTTTTATGCCTCCAACTATCCCTGGCCTTTGTTTTACTCATTGCTACTCGACATATTTTGCATGTACCAAAACCGTCTCAACTGACTGGTGTCTGTGTTGGTTTTTTTTGTTGTCACATCACGACTTTGGGGGGTTTGTTCCTTTGTGCAGCAGTGACTACACCTGTACTTTGTCTGACTCCTCTAACCTGGCTCAATTTCCATGGGAAAACTGGGAAGATGCTGGTGTTATAAATAAGGAGCTTGACAAGGCCAATATTCAAGCAGCAAGAAATTTATTAATTAGTATGGTGAAGCATGAGCAATACAGCACAGGGTGCAGTGGAGGAAGTTTTCCCTCCAACTGCACACCCATACTTGAGGCTTACAGGTATTTATAGGGGTACTCATCAGCTTTCTCAGCAGTTTCTATTCCCAATTTCTACTCATCAGCAGTTTCTATTCCAAATTTTTACGTCACAATTCTATACACTATTGTGATTTAGTTCTTCTCAGGATGTATCCCAAAAGGAGTATCCCCAGATGGTGGTGGTCGGTTTCCAAAATAAGGAAGAAGTCTCCCGTCTGGTGAGGTCCAGCTCCCCAGATGTGGGTCCACCTTTTAATTGCAAGGACTATAAATCACATAACAGTGATGTCCAGCTTCCCTTCGTCGAAACTATAGATCCTTGAGTTGATGTTCATCTTCCTTTCTCAAGCTGCTTTCCTCTCTTTGGTTTCCTTTATATATATTCCAAAGCTATAGTTTCAAGGATACAAGCAATATTCTAAAATTATACTGCAAAAGGTTATTATTGCAGAACTCTTTAAGGCTTAACTACAAGCAAAGATCAACATCCTTAATGCTTTAATTCAAACGCTCCTAAATTGTGAAAAATACATGTATTTTATGATTGGCTTTTCGCAAATATTAAAATGAATATTATTTGTGTTGTGTTAGAAAGTTATGCTGTATTAATTCTCTTAAGTACTGTGTTAAATATGATTTTAGGTTATAAAAAAAATGTTAAAATAGAAACGATGCTATGTAGGATACTTTTCTTAAAGAAAGGACTTGCACTGAGATAGCAGCCACAGGACACCTGAATCTGTCAGAGAAAGAGAATTTATTGCTCCATTATCAGAAGAAATGAACTTCTTCCTGCCTTGAAGGTGGTGTTTTAGGATTCAGAGGAAGAAGTTGACGATGACCAGACAGAATCCTGTGTTTTAATGGAATTTATGCATCATGTAACAAGACAACCAGTATGAATATGCAACAGGCTGTTGCTTTTAAGGGTTGATCCTTTTGTCCTTTTTCAGGCCCGCGCTGCCCAGAAAAAGGCACCTGGACGTCCGTAACTCTTTATCTCTGTTGTCTCATATTGTCCTAATTCAATTTGTCCAAATTGTTATTACTCCTATTTTATTACTCTTTTTTATAACCATTTTATTACTACTAAACTTTTGAAATTTTAAAAAGAAGTGATTGGCGTTCTTCACATAAATCAACTAAGGCTAATTGCAAACAAAAGATAGGTTCAAAGGCCTTCTTCCACGCTTTACTTTCCTCCGTCATTATTAGAATTCGTCTTTAGCGCCGTCTTTAGAGGTGGACAAAAGCCTCGTCCAGGTGTGTGGTTGTTGTCAAGCCGTGCATTCAGATGTATCAGGGTGGCATCGCTGACTGTCTGGATAGATGCAATCGGCTGCTCCCGGCCGGGGTAGTTAAAAGACATGGTTTGGATTTCACAATATTTTTATACCATACATTAACAGCATGAATTATCCCTACCATATGTTACATACCTGACACGAAACACAGCCTTGTGTTTCACACCAGGGAGCCTCGGGGACAACGGGGGGACTGTCCCGGGGACACCCACGGGGCTGTGCCGGGTGTGAAAAATGCATGTATTTTATAATTGGCTTTTCGCAAATATTAAAATTAATATTATATGTGTTGTGTTAGAAAGCAATGCTGTATTCATTCTCTTAAGTACTGTGTTAAATATAGCTTTAGGTTATAAAAATTGTTAAAATAGAAACTATGCTATGTAAGATGCTTTGTTTAACAGAAAGGGCTTGCAGCGTGATAGCAGCTACAGGACACCTGAATCTTTCAGAGAAAGGGAATTTATTGCCTTCTTATCAGAAGAAACTAACTTCTTCCCGCCTTGGAGGCGCTGTTAGGATTGGAAGGAAGAAGGTGAAACTCACCAGACAGAATCCTGTGTTTGAATGGAATTTATGCATCATGGATGGGATGTATGAATATGCAACAGGTTATTGGTTTTAAGGGTTAATCCTTTGTTAACGGGTGTCTTTTTTCGGGCTTGTGCTGCCCAGAAAAATGTACCCGGACGTCCGTAACTCTTTGTTTTTATTGTCTCATATTGTCCTAATTCAATTTGTCCAAATTGTTATTACTCTAATTGTGTTACTATTTTTATAACCATTTTATTACTATTTAACTTTTAAAATTTTAAAAACGAGTGATTGGCGGTTTTCACACGGGGATAACGGCGGGGCTGTCCCGGGGACACCGCGGGGCTGTGCCGGGGAGGCTCGGGGATACCCACGGGGCTGTCCCGGGGATAACGGCGGGGCTGTCCCGGGGACACCGCGGGGCTGTGCCGGGGAGCCTCGGGGACAACCGCCGGTCTCGCCGGGCGGTGCCGGACGCCGCGGGGACAACGGACGGCAGCAGCAGCAGCGGCGGCGGCAGTGCCTCGGCTGCGCCATGACCGTGCAGCGCCCGTCGTGGCCGCCGCTGTACTTCCCGCACTTCCACGGCACGGAGCCGGTGCCGCGGCCGGCGGGCGGCGCCTGGGCCCCGCTGGCCGCGCTGTGCTGGCCGTGGCAGCCGCTGCCGGCCGCAGCCGGGCCGCCCCGCTACGCCGCGCTGCCCGCGCCCGTGGTGCCGGAGCCGCCGCGCCTCTGCTGCCCTCCCGCAGCGCCGCGGGCCGGGGAGGCGGCGCGGCGGCCCCCGGAGCTGGCGCAGCTGCAGCTGCAGGAGGAGATGTGCGAGCTGGGCATCCGCCTCAAGGAGCTGGAGCTGGCGGCGCTCATCGGCGACGGCTTCGATGCCAGGCAGTGTGCGTGCGCCGCCCGCCGCGCCCGGGCTGCGCGGGGCGGTGCGGAAGGAGCTGCGGGCACCGGCACCGCCCCGCACAGCCCGGGTACCCCGGCAGGGAGCCCGGAATAGGGCAGGATGGATGTGGGGCGGGTTTGGGGTATCTCCGCTCCGCAGCGCCCTAGAGCCAGCCCGGGGCAGCGCAGGTGCGTGCGGGGACAAAAGGCATTGATTGTCCCGGGCCAGCCCGGTCAGCGCTCAGGGCAGCCGGCTGAGGGCATGGTTAGAGGAGTCACGCGAACTACAGGTGTAGTAGTCACTCCCGTAGTCACAAAACCCCCAAAGTCGTTAAATGACAACAAACAAACCAACGCAGGCATCACCCAAGCGAGAGGGAGTTGGTACATGCAAAATGCATGGAGTAGCAGCGAGACCCTGCGCTTGTGCACCGGCCCCGCATTCCGGCCGCGGGTCCCCCTGGCAGGGAGCCCTAAAGCCGGATGAGAGTGTGGGGCGAGTTTGGGGTATCTCTGCTCTGCAGCGCCCTAGAGCCAGCCCGGGGACACTGCGAGGCGGCACTGCGGGGACAAATGGCATTGATTGTCCCGGGTCAGCCCGGTCACCGCTCAGGGCAGCCGGCTGCGGGCACTCCCCCCGCACACCACAAACCACGTAAAACAACGACGCATTAACCAGACAACCAGCATTGTAATTGCCATCTTAACCACCATGTCCGTCATCCTCCTTCCTATATCCCCTATCATCCTTACCATCGTCTGAGAAATTTAGGATTATCTAAGGAGTCACACGAAGTACAGGTGTAGTCACTGTCATAGTCACAAATCCCTCAAAGTTGTTAAACGACAACAAACAAACCAGTGCAGGCATCACTCAAGCGAGAGGGAGTTGGTACATGCAAAATGCATCGAGTAGCAATGAGACCCTGCAGTTGTGCATCAGCTTGGATGTAAAATAAAGGCCAGGGATAGTTGGAGGCATAAAAAAATCTCCACACCAAAACACGCCCGCCCCCCAAAAAACTACAACCCCTTGGTTTTATTTCTGGGTCAGGAATGGGTGTTTGAAAGGGTGCAGTAAACTCTGGAAATGGCACTGGTTAAAGGAAGTGAGGAAGGCACTGTCTTAAAAGTTTTTAACTTTTTGAGGATTTGATGTAAAATAAAGGCCAGGGATAATTGGAGGCATAAAAAAATCCCCAAACCAAAACCCAGCTCCCCCAAAAACCTCAAAACAACCCACACCAAAAGAAACCACCGACCAAACAGAAACCCTCCCATTAAATTATAAGTGAGCTTGGCATTTTAATTTTGCAACCTGCTGGCCATGAAGAAAATGCAAGGAATAAAATAGTTCAGCAGATGACAGTGGTACTGACAGCTCAGGTAGGGAGGCCAACAACTGTAAGGATTTCATGCTCATTTTTTCCTCCAAGGTCACAGGAAACTTTCAGGAGTGCAAGAGTTACAGGAACACAGGGGAAATGCCCATCAGATATATGCATTCAAAGCAAGATCTCAAAAGAAATTCCACTTGGTAGCTTGCATGTATTTTCCCCTTCATTATAGCAGTAAACACCACTTTCCATTTTTAATACCAACTATTTTGAGAAACTCTAATTTTCAGGTATTTGCTAGCCAAGGCATTGTAAGGATTATTAGTTTGCTTAATACATTATTGGATTTACTTAAAAGTACTGTAAATTGTTAATGACATCATTAATGACAACTCGTGTTTCATTCCTGTTTAGATAAAATCCTGAAGGCACTGGAAGAAAAGAAGATACAAAGCATGAAAGCAATGCAGAACATGAAGTAATGTCCACCAACACACTGTGGATTATTTCAGCTGGATATTTTGCCACTATGACTGTGGATTGTTTTAATGGGTCTTTAATATTGGGTTTCTACTCACTATATGTTGTTCTCCTCCTCTTAAAAGTATAGCATATTGTTGACTTCTTTTGTGTATTATTTGTCTGGTACTAGTTACTGATAACACTAGTGTGTATTTGAACCTTTTTCTTTTTATCCAATTACTTTATGCAGGAAGCATATAATATTTTCTTCAAAAACACTGAGAAATTAACACTGTTTTTGTCAGGATTCTCAGCAGTCCATATCTGCAGCTGGCAAATGCAGAAATGGCAATATAAAATATGGTTGGGTTTTGTTTTGTTTTAGTTCTAAGTATATTAAGTGCAATTTCGACTAAATAGGTATGGCCAAAAGTCCTAAGCCTCTAAACCAGCTTAAATAACTACTTTCACATTAGCATAAAAACCTTTTTTATAATCACAGTGTATTCCTTTATAACCATAAAATTACAGAAGCTGTGACTTGAGTTGGTTTTTAACAGAGCAGGCACATGACATTGAGTGTTAACTGATATTTTACCATTATTTTAGGAATAACAGTGCATGGGCCAAAGCCCATGGCAGTTTTTGAAGTGACAACATCCTTATGTTTGGGAGGTACATCCTTTCATAAGTAAAAATGGACAGAGGCAGGGATGGCAGACTGAAGATCTGGACAGCATTCAGCATTCAAAAATAATGTCACCCATTAAGAACACCACAAAGGAGCAAATAGGCTCATCAAACTGATAAAAAAATACTGATTACTTTTTCCTATTCCATTTCCAAAGCAGTAGGTGGCAGCATGAAATAATAAAGTTACCAACCCTGAAGCTGCAATATTTTGGCGAAGAGCTTTATTTTTAAGAGGACTATTTTAACCTCTGTTTATTTAAACTGTGTTCAAATTACTCAGCTGAAATGTTTTAATACAATCCAATATGAAATTTTTTTTTCCTCTTACTGTTTATTGCAGCATTCATCCTTATAGGGCCTCAATCTTTCTAGCCAGATTTTGATCTACTGTACACAGAGTTTATATATTTTTTTAAAAAAATCTAGTTTATAACTCCCATTTGTCAATCATCAAACTACAGCAATCACATTTTAATGTGATTACAAATGAACATTAGAAATCTGGGCTGCAGTGTTTCACTGCTCCCTCTGCAGAAAGAGGATAAAAAGTCTCTCAAAGGGTTTTGAGGCTTAAGCAGAAATGGTCAATTGCAGTGAAAATGTGAATGGTTAAGCTGAAATTGTTGGTTTCAATGAAGATGAGAACTGTGTTAGTATCCAAATTAAATATCAGAAAACAAATTTGGATTGGAAAAAAGGGCCATTACACAGAGGCCTTCAGAGGCTTTGTGGGCAAGTGAGGGCTTTAAAATCAAGGTAGGTAACAGAGGAACTATCTTGATTGTCCCAATCTCCAGATCAGTTTAGTTCCTAAACCACAATAAATTTTCCAAGGTTACTGCAAGGGCCTACAGAGGTTTCCATTACATGGAATTGCTGCTTCCTAACAATTACTTCTCAGCTTTTACCAAGTCTTTGACTTTACATCCAGCTCTCATCAGCCATTATTCACTTTTTTTCTTTATTCCTTTGTTTTCTTGGCTTAAACAGAGCTGCTTCCCATCGCACACAGTTGAAATATTTTCCATCTGTTGTTCTGTTTTTCATATGGCCTTTATGTTGAAACAACACTTGGAGTTTAATTACTGGGTGATAACACAAGGAATAGCATCAGTTAATGTGTAATCTCAGAGCTGCCTGGGATCACACATCTCCTGAAAAAATCATCTGGACCATGGCATTTAGCAGAGTGGTCACCCTTGTGTCACCCACAGCACTCCTCCATCAGGATGCTTTGGTCAAAACCTTTCCTTTGGAAAAAAAAAATAAAAGGAGGGGGAAAAGGCTATTGGTGCATAATGGCACATAGGCTGATTTCCATTTGCCCCTAAACATTTAACTTACTTACCTTTACTTTTCTGCTCTGTTTCCACCTGATCTTCTTAAATCCAGTAATTTGCTCTCATCTGAGGGCTTATGGTTTCATCTCAAAGCTGGTCTGTTTATCATTCCCTTTGTAAAAATTAAGCCATGTATTAGACAAAATAGAACAGCATTCTTACTGCATTTTCCTTGATTCACAAAGGACGTGTCATTCATTTTTTAATTGTTTCTGTTCTCTAAGATTGCTCAGGGGAGGCTAAACCTGGCATTCAGATGCAGGAGCAATTCAGATCTCTTTCATGTAGCTGCCTTGTGACTCAACAAATCTATCCCTATTGCATTCAAGACAGAAATTTAAGGCTACAAATTTGATTCCGAGGCAGAGATCTCCAGACATCAGTAGGTTGCTCCAATTTCCAATCCCAAACAAGGCGAGCCTCTCAAAAAGCAGAGTGTCACACCTTCCCAGCCTGAGCCTGCACCTGCAGTGACACCCCGGTGCTCCCCAAGGAGAGCCTCAGGTCTCCCTTGTGAAACCTCAAATTGGCTGTTTTATGGTGGGCAAAATGAGATACAAAGCTATTCAAGAACCAGAATGCATTTCAACTTTATTTTATATCAAACAGTTGGGTCCATTAAATTTCACACTGCTGTGTTTGAGTTTGCCACATTAAAATTCTCCAAGTAGATATTCAGCCTTATTACAATGGATCATTAGAATTTAAATTAATCTTCAAGTCAAGCTGCCTTAATTAGTTCAGGGGCAGATTAGAAAGGAAATCCAAAAGCAGTAAGCCATCATGAAATTATTTTTCTGCTTTCAGCAGCGTCTGCTGCATTTTGGATTCACCTGTCCTGAAAATTCAGAGCTAATATCTCAAGGGGAGGTAGGGAAATTGAGAAACACCCAACTCTGGGAAACTTGTCCTCATTTTTGAAACTTGTCAATATTTGTGAAACAGCCTCAGATTTTGGTGTATCTTGAGAAAAGCCAGAACAGCCCCTTGAGGCAGTTTAAGTACTCACAGTATGTATATAAAATATATAAATACATATATACATTTAAAAATTATAATTAGGCCATCTGTCTAGAACCTTATTAGTGATACTTACACTAGGAATTTCATTTATCCTCTATTTTTGGAAGATCCTTTACAGCCTCTTTCTTCCTCTGAAACTACAAAGTAGTAGTAAAGGAACTTTTTATTCCAAATTTCTTACATGACAAATTATATAAAAGCAGCCCTGTCAAAAGCTGCATTTTCCTCTTCCTTCTGCTTCAGACTGACAGCACAAAACTTAGGCCTGCATAAATGATATTAAAACCCACAAAAACTAAATCTAAAGAGGAGGAGACAGCACGAACAACCAATAAGTAGCAACACAGATTTTAAGACATATTTTATTTCATGTGCAAAGTTGCCAAGGAAAACACATGTACAACTTCAGCTAAGCTATAGCCACTAACATGAAAGGAACTATTCTATGTACTCATAAGCTTTATTTCTAGAATCACCCTAGGCTCAGAGTAAAAACATAGGGATTTGGTAATGATCCAGAACATTTTAAATCCCCCCTTTTCAGTTATATGTAAAATTCTACCATCAGCATGTAGTTTTAAGTAACAGGTCTTGGAGATTTTCCTTCTGATTGCATAGTATAAATTTTTAATTATTTCTTATTCTTTTGATTTAATCCCTAGACTCAGCTTTAAATTTGCTCTCAATGTTGCAGCTTCAGAAAATTAATTTTCCCACTTACAGCTGAAATACTCATAAATTTTGAGCAAGTTTCACAGACACAGCCATTACAATTCAGTTGAATCAAGCTGTGAACACCAAAGATAACATGGATTTTTGTAATCATGCAGAGCTAGTCCTTTCCATAGTTCAAAGATGTAAGAAAAGTTCATTTCCTTGGAAAGTGAGATCTGTTGCCTGGGAAGTGAGACAGTTTATTGATATAAATTCTGTAAATCTCTGTAAAAAAGTGTAGAGGTTGTTATTGGAAAGGCTTCCTAGAACATACTGAAATATTTTCAAGAGGTTTTTTTTTTTCCCCTTGTAAATTCACATTTATTGAAATGCTACCATAGGAATAGGTACTTTATAGTCCTGAACAATTCCCAAAGCTCCATGAAGTAATAAATGGTGCTTTTTATCAAAGTAGGCGCTGCAGTCCAGGTCTGAGTTTCAGCAGAGCAGTGAGGAGAGGCAGTTCCTTCACCCTGCCCTGCACATGGGACACTGAGGCACAGTCACGTTTTGGACCAATCCAAAATCCTGAAGAGCAGCAAACTGACCTCTCATCTCCCAATTTCCAGCCACCCATAACCAGACAGCATCCTTCCTCTCCTGGCACAGTTTTAAGACACTTGTGATGGGTAATTTATTGGGGGGGTTACTGCTCAGCCCTGTTCTTCTTGAAGGGAACAGGTGTTGTGCCAGTAAACAAAAAAAAAATACCCAAAAAAATTGCCAGTAAACAAAACCTTGCAGCAGAAAATTTACCTGTAGCTGTGGTTTGCCTCAACACTAAAAGGAGAACACACAAAGCACACCATGGGCTGAAGCCATGCAGTGCCGCGGCTGTTAAAAATTCTGTCCTGTGTTGGTTCCTGCTTCTGTCACACCAGCTATCAGCGAGGTAAACAGTGCACTTCTTAGTGTACAACATGTCAAATTCATATTCAGAATGCACAGCAATGGCAGGGAAGACTTCAAATGAAAATAAAAAGTCAAAAAGCATAAGAATATCTGTGCTGGACAAACATGATTTCTGATGAATCCAAAGAACTGCCCTGTTGTTAGGCCTGAGCTGTTTCTGTTGGGTTGCTAAATCCTGCATCAAAATTTAAGCCTCAGCAAGATGGGTTCTATCATATTTTCCAAAATCCTTGGCTTCACTCTCATTTTTTTTCTATCAAGTATGGCGTTGAATACAGCTTGCAGAATTCAGCAGCAAGATGAAATGAAAAAGCCTTCCCAGTCAATTTGTCACAGAAGGAAATATTAAAATTTGTTTGTTGCAAAAAAAAGTGTTCAGGTTTTTTCCTCATTGCAGCATGAAGAGTATGAGATAAAGACAGGGATAAAGAATAAATTTCAGTTTTACTTACATCCAGATCTCCTTGCCAGATACACAAGACCTTAACTGATGCCCCAGTGTTTGGACTGGTTTACACAGCACAGAAATGCTCTGGGCTCCAGTGAAGAGGGAATACTCTGGAAGAGAAATTCACCTGCTCTCTAAATATTGTACTCAGTGGAATCACCTTTCCTTGTGATTTACAGTCCTTTGCACCCATTATTGCCCAGTGGCTAAATGTGAATTTCTAAAGTTACAATTTCTAAAGCAATTTCTAAAGTTGCTCAAAACTGTTTACAGACTGCAATATAGTAACAACTTACTCCTTGGGTATGAATCATGAAGTCAAACTTCCTAAAACAAGAATTATTTTTAACAAATTCAAAAAAAGAAAAAGAAAATCAAACTCCTGAAACACCTCTTCATGACACTTGTAGTTATTTTCAACACATCTATGATACATTTGACCACCTAACTATTTAAAGCCCATTTCTCCTCTTCCATGAGCTTTAGAACAGAACAACTCTGAGCTTTATCTCTTCATTACTGCCTCTCTACCCGTTAAGGAACCTGAAATGGATGGGGACAAATTGATGGACAAATAGAACCAGTTTTGAAAAAATATTTAAATATTTTTTGACACACAGATATATAGATACGCATGAATATGATACAATATTCATCAGAATATGGTCTTAAAGCAATTTTAAAAGCATGAAATATTATATGATTTGGGGGCATTTCAACTATTTTTAAAATCGGCACCTAAACCACTTTGTGCAATGCAGTTATTCTCAGGAGAGAATCTGCAGTATTGACCAGCTTTGCCTTTATGACTTGGTCATCTTGAAAGATTTTTAAAGAGCAAGTCAGCATGCAATTTCTTTACTTATCTATATATAAATCTCATTTCCACAAGCTGAGTTTTGCATTAATTATTTCTGAGAGAAAGGCAAAAGTTCAAAAAAAGCATTCTCAAGGAGTATTCTTCTCCTTAAAAAATGAGAAGAAAAAAATAAAAAAACTTTGAATTCTTTAGATAAACAGAAAAGAAATCTGCTGCTCATTCCTAGAGTTAAAAATTAACCCATGAAGGGAAAGCTGCATTTTCTAGTACGTATGAGCAACATGCAAGATGCCTGTCCCTCTGCCATTTCATGTCAGTGTGGGCTGGGAAGCCACTGGGATTTGTTAGTGTATAAGAAATCCAAATCCAAGAGCAGAACAATAACTGGTTGGACACAGAGTTTGGAACTGCTGGGATGTGCCCAGGATGAACAGGGGCAGCAAAATGCAGTGAGCTCAGAAAACTTGCTGCTTTCAAGCTCCCTCTGACTTCTAGAGGCTGGCAGTCAGCTCTTACACTGGCAATGCAGGGCTAAAAAAAATATACTAAATGTCATTAATTCTTTAGCAATCAGACATCTTGAAATGTAATGGAAACTGCGGTCAGCTTGGTACATATCAGCCCTTAAACAAAACAATTCTGTCACTCAACCCAATGTTGCATTTTCTACCTGCCTCTCATTTTTACCTCACACTTCTTATGTGTCTCTTTCAAAGACAGTCTGAAAAAGAAATTATCACAGCTTAAGATAATACTCTCATTTCTATATATAGGGCTTGCATGCACCTCTATCAAGTTCCACTCACAGTGTTATGACATACAAATATTACTCATATTTCCAGACTGAATGCTAGAGTTTCCAACACAGATTACATGTCAAGAAATTACTCTCAACAAGTCAAGAAATTACTGCCAACAAGTTCCCTTTTATCCTTTTACTGTTCTACTGATGCTAATAAATGTCACAAGTGTTCTTCCAAGTGAAAGTGGTCAGGACACACAAACCAAGAAGGAATTTTTTTGTTGTTTCATTTGCAACTGTTTCTACTGATGATTTACAAATCTGAAGACAGACAGTGGTCAGAACATCAAGATTTTGTGTGCACAGTAAACAGTACTTTCACATGAACATTTAACATATCTTTAAAGAAAATTGGGGCATTGAATAGAAAAAACTAAATTACTACTTCTTTCTCAGTAAAAATGGCATGGATATATCTGGACAAGGTCATCACTTTAAACACAAATACTTTCTTCTTTGAAATCAGTATTGAAAAACTATATTGTACTTGTAGCCATACAAAATGTTTATTATATTACAAATTATTTGTACACTATATTTTCACTTTATCATTGCTTTGTGCTCAGACAGTATAAATATTACAGCATGATTTTTCTTTCCCAGCAATGTCCTAACTGTCTTGATATAATCTGACTTGATATTTAAAAAAAAAATTACAGAAACATATTACAAACAGGATAAAAAGGCATCATGAATGAAGAATGTAAGATGGTTTTCTGAATAAAGTGCACGACAATGGTTTCAGAGTGATGATTCAGGAAATATTCAGTAGACTGCACATCATCCATAATAATACCAAACAAAATAAATTTTGAATCTCTAACAGGTCTTCATCAGAAGTATGAAAAGTACTTTGTTTAACTATACTGAAATGGTTTTTCTTTCTAGAAGGCTATTTAAATGCTTTTGCTCAGGGGTTTTCAATTTTCTACAGACATCCAAACCCTGGACATCTCTATATTTTCCAAAACTTTTAGTTTCCAGTATGGCAAGATACAAGATCCATTGTGTAAGATGTATGAGACTTTACCCTCACACATTTTTAATAGAACTATTAAATTGCCACAATTTAAGAATGGAAACAGACTTACAGAGTTAAGTGTCCAAAAGATGCTGTTTAAAACTGGAATGCCCTGCTTCCTGTGACTTTTTTGGGAATACACTGTTACATTTCCCTTCCCACCTCTATGGCTTCAGCATGCTCATCCATGGGATCCTGGCTGCTTGCACAATTTCAGGTTCAGGAGAACTCTGCAAAACTGGCTAGAGAAATTTATTACACAGCACATTGACCCCCATTGCTTAGAAGGACCCATTTACTTGCAAAATTTCACTGGGCTACATAGAAGAATCATTCAAAAACTGATAATAAAGCTGATGCAGAATGTGGCTGGCACAACCTGGTGTAGGTTTCACTTTCCAGGTTAGCCCAAGGCAGCTGTGAACTAGCTGAGGCTAAATAATTTCAGCTGCTCTTCCATTATGTCTGCACTCATGTTACAGTGATCCAACTGACTGAAAAATAAACAGAAGTCTCTTTGAGGGATCTAGTGAAATTTGCTTTTATAGACAAAGCCCAACAGAGAAAATAAACCCTGCTGTCAGTGAGTGAAATTCCCACTGAAGCCAACCAGAGCCTTTCTGTGGTACACTGAGTTTGGCCCAGTATTTTCCAGTTGTTATTCTGAAAGTGTGATGCTCTTAGCCAGCTATTCATTTAACCCAATTTGGCTGTGTTGTATCACACTGATAATATCAGCATCACCTGGCTGACAGGTAACTGAGACAGCAGTCAGCCTTTACTAGACTTGCATTTATATGAAAAATTGAGTTTCTTTGGTTGTTTAGTATCCAAGTCACCCAATTGTATATTTGTGTACTCCAGACATAGCACGTTTATACTGATCAGTAAAATTATCAGGGGTTTGTTCTTTCTTTTTTTTCTTTTTCCACTTAGTTTATGGAAATTTTCTGACTATAGCAGACTAGTCACTTATATAAATATACAGCACATATATACATAGAAATTACAAAAATACATTTTATTTATATCTGATTTTAAATAATAAAAATGAAATTTCACATTTATTGAAAGATTAGCTAGCATTCCAAATGCTTCTGCAATATTCAAGGTATTGGAGCAGAGGATGTCTGTATATTCTAGGATAATTACACATCACAGTCTCAGGGTTTATAGTATAATTATTAAGGGGAAAAATAGCTCTGCTTTAAAAGTTTGTGCTTCATCAATTTCTTCTTCTATCCCCTATTCTAGTCTTCTTTCTCCTTCTCGCAATTTACTGATGGCCAAAAAAGCTAAACCAAGTTCCCTTTCTCACATCAGTTAAGACCAAAGAAACTCAGAGAAATGAAATGATCAGACAAAATAGTAATTGAGGATAACTAAATAACCCACTGAAACGAAGGACATTACCTTTAACTCCAGTTGACATCAAACACGCCCAACACAACAAATTTTGCAACAACTTCAGTTCCTGAAGCTAATTGCTGAAGGAACTGAAAACAACTGTTCATGTCTCCAACTAGTTTGTACAACTGCAAAATATTAACTACTGTCCCATCCCAAGTGGTTTGATTTTCTTTTGGGATTGGATTCCTACCACAACGCAGTGTAACAATCAGTGACCTTTATCTTGCACGATATGAAGTCAACATCATTTCTGGCAATGCTCTCTTTTTGACAGAACATTCATATTTTTGTTAATCCATGTAGCTGTTAACTTATTTATGTTATACATAAATATACATGTTAATATAGTAATTAGGTCCTCTACATTCAGAACTTCCTGGGTGCGCATTCACCGTGCCAGCACAATCAAAATCAACTGCAGCTTCAGGTAGCACTTTCTGGCATCACTTCAGTAGATAGCACTGTTAAAGAAAGAGGGAAAAAAGCACTGTGTTGAACAGAGGTTTCCTTGTCCAAGCAGGTGTATTCATTTTTCCAGGTTGGAAGGATTTAAAGGTCTCAGGTTTACCAGCTTCACATGCATTCAGAGTGAAAAGCCCGATTATAGAGCAAACAGGAAAAATCTTTTTTCATTTCTCTGGGAAGCTTTTAGCACCAATATCCTTTGCTGGCTCTTCATGCATTGTATTCTTTCACGCTGAAAAAAAAAATCTCCTCCATAATTCATCAGTGGCATTGAATGACAAGGTAGCCACCAATCATGGAAATGTCGTTCACCTTCTCTACAGTCCTCTCTTCTTTCACTTCTTTGCACTGTTAATAGGATGAAGAGACTCTGAGCTATTTACAGGATATTTATTTGTATTACTTAATTGTGTTGAATTCTTTTGGTTTGAATACAGTGTCTGGGATGAAAAGGCTGAAATGACTCTGCATTGCTGAAATCAGCACCCCTTACACAATGCCCCACAGCAGACAATTAACACGGCCACTGCCACACCAGCCGTGGCCTCCAGCAAACCCTGTTCTGCAGGTTTTTTCTTCTCTTATCAAAGTTTTGGCATGCAGAAGTTATTTTCAGCAGCTCTGCCTCTGGGCCTGTAAATGGAACTTCTTGTGGCACAGACATGTTCAGCAGCATCTTTAGTGAGGATGGGTCATAATATGAGAGCAAAGTGACAAACAATTGCATATGGTTGATCTCATCAGTATGAAACAGTTTCCTGGCAGCTTTTCCTTAGCTGGAAAGCGGAATTTCATGTCTTCAGAGCCCTGTTGCTCTGCTTTAAGTCATTTCATAGTGTTGACTTTTCATACAGATTAAAACGCCATCGCTTTGGCACAATTCACAGAAGGTTTGTGGCCGAAAACTAAAGGAGCTGCTTTCTTGGCTTCCCCAGGTCACAAGACACAAACACCGTGCACAGAAGATACATTAGACCTGGAACTCAAACATATCTGTCTGCTTCTTGGCCAGCTTGGCCACTTCTTCCCTTATTGCCTTGACGAGGGCAGCCGTGGAGATGTTGGTGAGCGGCGCGTCCGAGGGGTCGTTGTCGGCCAGGCTGTGCTGGGAGGCGGCGGCGGAGGCCAGCGGGGCCTGCTCCAGGCTGGGGTGCAGGCTGCCCTGCTGGCTGTACTGCCTGGGCAGCCTGGAGGGGGAGTTGTGCTGGTAGCGGGGCCTCGGGTAAGCCTCGATGTAGCCAGGCAGGGGCACCTGCAGGGAATTGGAATTGCAAAGGGTTATGCGGAACGATCGATCCGCCAGCCGCCACAAACCTCCCTGGGGCAGAGGTGAGAGAGAGAGCACCAAAGGAAGGGAATGCAAACCTCAGAATTAATTCCCAGCTTCAGGGTGACCCCAACGTCTGGGAATGATTGGCATCTGACTCTATGATTCAGAAGAGTGAAATATTGCCTTATTAAAACTATATTCTATCACATTATACTATACTAAAGAGATACTATGCTGAAGAGATACTAAAGAAAAACCCATGACTGTCTCCAGACAGTCAGGACACAACTTGGACCTAATAGGCCAATTAATATAAACAACCATCACCAGAATCCAATTAAGAACTCACTCTCAGTAAGCAATCTCCATAACACATTCCACATGTGCAAAAACAACAGGAGCAGTGAATAGAGACGAGAATTGTTTTCTCTTCTTCTCTCTGTGCTTCTCCAGGAAAAATCCTGGGAGAGAGAATTATGTCTCCCTCTGTTCAGAGAATGTGAATGCCACAGCCTTCTTCCTACACATGCCTGTCCTGGCATGTGCCATTTATGCACGTCCCAGCTGTGGCAGCAGAAACATCTGCTTGTCCTCATTTATCATCACCTCCAAAAGTCCAAGGGAAAAGGTTTTTCTGGAAGGTGGCTCTCTGCTTAGCAAACACTTTGGTTTTAAACAAACAGCATGATTTTTGTACTCCAGAAACCTGTAACAGAAAAGCAGTTTTCTGATTTCTAGCTAATCCAAGCCAGCCAAGTGTCTGGCCTCATTGGTCCTAACAGAAACTCACTAGATGCAGACACCAGGGATAAGCTCAGATGGGCCAGCTTGGAAATTCAAGGCTCAAAGGGATGTTTGACTGCTCAGAAGTGTCAGGATTTCTGGCCATGTCTAACAGAATTACATGAGGGATTAATAATTTTTGTAACTCCACAGATTTACAAGCCCCATGTTAGCTAAAACTAAAACAATAACATAGGCCCTTAAGTCACAGTGAGAGATTAAATTTCTTTCACCAGTCTTTTTAGCACTCGGAAGATTTTAATGCATCAAAAAAATGAATATTGATGATTCCCATAAGTCTATAAAATGGGAATCTACAGGCCTTAATTTTGAAGAAGGCTTTATGCCTGAAGCTTGACCTCTACACAGCCTTGGGTATCCATCAAATGCTGAAGAGAATGTCAAACATGTACACTCTGGTGTGATGAGACAAATGTAGGAAGCAGGTATGATATGAAAGTGATCATTATATGTAGGCACCTCTGTTTAGTTTACAACGGGCTCTTCAAAAGGTGATTGTACCAGAACAACATGTGATCACACCACTAAAGGCCACCAAGTTACTGTTTTCACTAAGCATTATCAGCAGTTGGGAAAATAAGTGCTTTGTGGATACAGTTTCATTGTCCCACAGAACTTAGTGTTTCAATACTTACCATTTGTCTCAGAGAATAATATATTACAGTCATTGTGCTTACAAAATAGTTCCTTGTTGTAAAATCTCCTGTTTCCTCCCTTGTTTACAGTCTAGGCTAGCAGAAATGTGTGGAAAATGAAGAATCTTATAGATATTTAGCCTCTGTTCTCAATAATTTTAAGAAAATCTTGGAAGTGTGATCAAGCTATAATATAAAGGCTCAAAAACTATGTCCAGAAATTCAAGCCCTGAGTATTAGTGAGAAAATCTGAGCATTACTTCAGATTTTTATGCTATTCACTTTTATTCAGGCTTTCTGACTGTGCTATGTTGCTAATGCTATTACTAGCTCCTCTAGTAACAATTTTCAAATAAAGACAATTTCCTGACTGATTTGCAAAATCATTATAGAAACTGCAGTAGTTTCTACATTTTTAACCCTTCTGCAAAGCCACTGGAGGGTTGAAAATTTGACTAGCAAGGAATTGTTAAAGCTCTGCCATGGGTAAGTGAAAAGGGATATTTTTTTCCTCTGAGTTCTATATTGCCATGGTTATTTTTCTGACAGTTTTTTACATCCCTCTTCATTCCTCTTTCCCTGAAGGAAACCCACAACAGGTTTATACTCTTCACTTTCCAGAGGAAGGAGCTGGGGGCTGGAGACTTGGTTTGCAGTTTTGACCCATTTGTTTCAGTCTCCACTTTTGACAAGTGATACCTGACTCTATTTCCACAGGACTGCAATCAAGAGTAGGGATACAGAAGGGAGAATGAACGGGAAACAAGTAAAATTTCCTTATTTGTTTCACGGCTTTTTCCCTTCTTATTGAAAAGTTCAAAATCGTTGCTAAGATACAATGGGCCTCCTGGATTTAAGATGTAAGAAGGGTTAAAAACACACATAAAACAAATAAATAAACAAACAAAAAAAACCCCCACCAAAACAACAAAGGAAAATAAAGCTTTTCATGCTTTAAAAGGCAGCTCTGAGAAGGAAATTTATACCAGAGCATCGCAAGCCTCCAGGTGTCAGGGGCACATCAGCAGGTGTGCTCAGCTTACAAATGAACAGCTTTATTATTTTTTTTCCTGACAGTTCAGCCTTCAAATTCAGACTTGCACCTCAAAGTCATACTGAATTGTTTTCCTCACAGGCATTGGGAGCAGCAATAAAGAGTGAAAACAAAAAATGCTGCCCCCAAGAACATTTATATGACTGTGTTGTCTCCTGCTTATCTGCTCAAAGCCAACTTAGATTTCAACTGCAATTCATTAAAATGTTCTGTGGACGATTTGCACAAGGAAATTGAATCTGTCTCCCAGGTTTTTTAGTCAGAGTGGTTCTGCATAGATACCAGATATGAGCTCAAGTAGAAGAATTTATCTTTTTTTTCCCTTGTGTAAAAAAAGTACTACATTTGAGAAATTGTTTCAAACATGATAAACTACTGCAATTCATTTTAGGATGTTTCAACTTTAATTCTTTGAAATGTAGGTTTACTTTGGGCTAAAAATTACATCTGTTCCAGTCTGAGATTGTGCAATTAATTATTTAATTTATGATCTGTCACTGCAGCCTTTGGGAGGATTTGAAACACTGCACAGCAGGGCTGCAGCAGTGCTGGGAGGGAAGATTTGGGAGCCAGGCTGTCTTGAGAAAAGCCTCCAGGAGGGTAAGATGCTTCCCCAACTTTCAGACAGCTCAGGACTGTCTTGAGAGGCAGCATCACCTTCTCCTGACATGTGTCTATCTCAAAATGTAACCTTTCTCAGGAAAGGAAAATGATATCTAACCCACCAACTTTAAACAGGTGCCAAGCCCTAACCTAGCAAAGGATTCCACCCTCTAAAGATCTTGCCCACAGTTCCTGCTTGAACAGCTGAAGTATCTATGTCTAAGCCATCTCTTATGGCTTTTCACTGCTAGAGATTATTCCCATTCAAGGAAAAATTATCCTTTTCTGCTTCTTTGTCGACCAGTGAAGAATTGCTGAAAATCCCTCCTGTGCAAAAACACATAAAAAACAGGTGGTTAGAAAAGCAAGGATGCTTACAGAGTCTGCCCACTGCCCTGGCAACTCATTCTCTCCAGCATAGGGCATCCAGGCTTGGTTCCTGTAGGCAGTGGGAGGAGTTGGGATGAAGTAGCCCGTGAAGCCAGGTCGGTTTGCTGGAATAGCAAACACTGCTGGTACCGTATTTCCTGGCAAAGAAAAAAACAGTAGGCACCATTAATAGCTGAGATTTTCACTTGTAAATCAGATTATAGTGCTTATGAAATAGAGGCTTCATGCTTGTTTGTTGAGGTTTTTTTGTCTGGGGCTTTGGGTTTGGTTTGTTTTGTTGTTTTGGTATTTTTTGTCCTACCATCTGACTACTGCAACTTCATAATGCTGGGAAATACTGGAGAAGGCAAAATTTGCAGTTGTCCTCATAACCAGGTACAGCCTTCAGGTAAAGAGTCCCTAGGATTTGATCCTTGTAACAAATGATCTTTGTCAAAACTTTGACTCATTAGAGAAAAGGATTTTTTCCCTTAAGTTTGCCTCCTTGTATTCAATTTTCAGCTGTTGTTACGATGGGTTTCAGTGTAATGCACCTCTCTTTTCACTGTTTACCTAGTCTTTCATGATATCTATATTATTAATATTATGATTAATACCTGTATTGTATTCTTGTATTAAATGCAGGTAAAAAACCTACAAAATGAGTGACTGATATGTTTAACAGGCTGCACTCTCAACAATTCCATCATAAAACTTCAATGCTTCTGTAAAAAATACCAAGGTTCTACCTGTTCAGTTCCTTTCCCAAGAACAGTCTATGGCTGCCATAAATGACACAGCTACAACTCAAAGAAATATTTCTTGATTATTTCCAAATCTGGCTTATCACCTCTTGATTAAGATGCATGCCATAGGAATATCCAGGAAGCCTCCTGGATTAAAATCCCACTTTCACATTCTAATTTGTGTGGAAGGAGCCAGAGTTTCAGCCAAATGTCTGGGTAGGGTCACATCTGCTTTCAGGGAAGGTTGATTCCTGTGGCCCACAGAGATGCAGAGAGCAATTTGCTACAGAAATTATCCACTGGACTGTCTGGAAGACCAGCATCCTAATGTGCCTATTTCCTTTGAGATAATCTTGATATATTCCCTTTGCTATCATAACTCTGTGTATTTTCCGAGTTAAAAATAGACTACAAACAACTTTCTCGCCCAGTCAAGTCTTCCTTCCTCTAGTGTCTATTTACATGCAAAGACAGACTCCAGCAGTGAATCACCAACATCACACTGAGGGCATGAAATCCTCACCCCTAAATCCTGGATGGGACAGCTGCATATCCTCTTCATCAGTTATTAGATTTTCAGTTCATTCAGTTATATTACATGGACATGTATTTTACTTTTCAGATAGCAAAAATAACATCATTTACATGAAAGCAGAAGGGCAGGAAACCCTTTAAAACCACAACAAAGTGCAACTCCAGCATTTTCACTGAAGAATGGAAGCACAGCAGCATTACACAGCTGGGCAGATTCTCTATAGTAGAATTAATGCAGAGAAAATAAAATTTCTCCCCCTTCCAACTGCACATCATTTGAATATTGCTGCTAATTGCTCTCAGTAGCTATGATACCACTATGCTGACAAAATCACAAAGACATAGGAAGGCCCATGAAATTCATATGGATTATAATTGAATTAGCATCAATTACTGGCTGCTTCAAATATCCATCTCCCAGAATCTCATTTACAGCCCTGGCACATTTTTTGTTCCTGAACAATCTACCAGAGGGTTATCCAGCCTACTCTGACAGATGCTGGGACATTGCATGGGCAGGTGCACAGAGACAGAAAGACTCCACCAGTGACATCCATCCCCAAAGCAGTCTCTATAAACCCAGATATTTCAGTTTCTCAATGACCTCCCATGCAGTCCCAGGCCAGAATTGCTATGGATGCAATCAGGACTAAAAGAAGAGGAGTAAAATATGGGTTTTAGCACATTTTTCTCCAGAGCAGAAACACACCACCTCTATCCCAATTCCTCCAGCCCCATGGTTTGGAAGAGGGTGGGCTAAGAGAAGGGGTGTGGTCAATCATTCCAGGTAATAAAGAGCACAAGGGTTGCTATTTTAAGTGAGTTAGCAAGGCTGAAAAGGAGCACTCTGCATACATGTACAGAGAAGAAATGCTGCTCCTGTACATGGCAAAGGCCTCCTACACTAAAACACTCTTTCTATTTAACCACAGCAAAAGAAGCTACTACTCAAAATGAATATTCAGTTGGCTGATATTATACCTTATCCTAAAACATTATTGCAACATCCTTATCTTAGAGCTGATGCTGGGCTGCATGAGAGTAAGATTGGGCATTAACATTCCAAACCAGCACCTGCAGCAATGTTTCTTCTTGTATTGAGGCTACAAAAACTTATTTTCATATCAGAACATTAGAAACCTTGTATTACAATTGCCCATTTCTCACAAATGTCCTCGTCTTTACCTGCCTGTATTACAGCCTTTTGTAGCACCTTACATATAACAAAGTTTCCTTCAACTACTCCCAGACTTACTCTGGCAAACTCTACAATGTAGAGGAAGGTCATTTTGTCTCTTCTGAGCTGCAGCTACCCTTCAGCAACACACAGTAATAAAATCTCCCCATCTCTGGATCCAATCAAAAAGTGGATCCCAGAGATCCCATTACTGCACACATAAAGAAGAGGTCTAGGTAGTGTGGCACATTTCATGGCTTGAAATGTTTTGAAATGGGAGGGTGAGCATCTGCTGCTTTCAGGTACTGCACCATGTGCAGAAGGTATGACAATAAGTGAGAGCAGAATTGATCCTGCAAACCTACTCTATTTAATTAATTGACAACTCATTTGCTTAGCCACATCATGATTCCCAGTCAGAGATATCAAAGACAATGCAGATAACTCTCTATTACTTCTGAGGAAGCTAAGAAAGATTTTTTTCTGGGAGATTAACAGAGCAATATCTAACAAACTACTAATTTCAAAGGTTTGAACTAATGGAAAATTCTTTTGAATATTGGAAGTTCTTTTCCATAACTCTTCAAGAAAACACATTTTGCCAATAAAAAGCCATTTGAAGTATTTTTTCCAGCTAAATATTTTCCAGACACCATCAAAACAGTCTATCAGCTTCATCTCATGATTAAATCAATTCATTTATAAATACAAATTGTATCAAAAGGACCAGGAACTGACTAGACATTTAAAACTGGGACTTTTAGACCCAAAACAAGTTCTGGGCAGAAACTATATTCCCCAGAACAGGAAGGGTGAAGAGCTAACAGATTACCTTTGACTGTGCAATAGCACCACTGCCTTGTGTTTTCAAGGGAAGGGGCCATGTACCTTCAATTTGCCTTCCTCAGCAGCCCACTGTGGTGACAAGAGTTGGGATAAAGTTTCTCAAGAGGCAATCCGGAGCCTTAAAAAAGTTTTCAAGCACTTGGATCAGTATTCTTGACTGACAAAACATTGCAAGGATCTAACTCATTTCTCCCTCACTGCCTGTTTCTCCCACTTTGCTTGGTTGGTACGAAGTGGAACACAAACAAGTCACACAGCTGCCAATACTGCAGCTTATTTTGCTACCAACACCTTCTAGATCCTCCCTAAAAAGTCTACTGTGTTTTGCTGTACAAATGAACAGTTTTACTGGATTTTATCAATTCAGAGTTCTTGAACACAGAACATCTGGGACATTACTGCTGCATCCTACCTTCAGAAAAGGCCATTTCCTGGTGCTACTGCAGGATGAGTATTTTAGGATGCAGCTGCTGCTGCACTTACAAAGGGACAGGCCATCCTCTGCAGGGCTCCTTCAGCTGCACCAGGAAAAACCCCACCTAATACAGTCTTTCTTCAAATAATCATCCTTATTTGCTGTATCCCATACTTTCATTTCTGTCCAAAATAACTTATAAGGCTCTCAAAGTTGAATCTGCCCAATTTTGTCACCTGAGTGAAAAGCAGATTGATCAAGTGGACCGACAGACATGGGAGCTCTCGAACCCGGTGCAAAAGGTGTCTGATCATGGTGCTGGGCCTGATCTGCTCCACTGGACTCAGGTATTCTCACTTTGCTGCCAATATCTGATGTAGACCTGTGTGTTAAGAAAGAAAAATAATACAAATTTTTTGTTATTCTGACCTACAGATATGATTTGTAGCCACATAGATGCCTATCAGCTCCAGCAGGACAAGCCAGCGAGGAGCAATCTGCCCAACTTTGCTCTGGCATGACAGAAGCCTGGAGAACAACTGCACAACAGAATTTTGGAGAAGTCTGGAGGAGTTTGCAAACAACTCTTTTAGTTTTTGGTTGCTCTTTTTACCAAAGCATCGTATAGGGCCTGTGCTTTCTGCTTCAAACAAATGCCTGTGAAACACAACACTAAAACCAGAGATTTACCATAAATTCACCAGAGCTTTACCATAATTAATTCGCCACCACAGTCTACAGACAGTCACAACAGTGTACATGACATGGTATCATACAGTTGGAGACCACTGTGGTAAATAACATTACTGTACTTGGGAAATTCTGAGGTCTTTGGAAATGTTGCAATTTCAGGAAAGCAGGAGAATGATGGTGTGAATTATCTGCCTCAATCCAGCACATCATTATGAGAACTGAGGCAAAGAATGCTTTAAAACAAACAAGAGCCTGCAGATCCTAATTTTATTGACGCAGACTGGCTAACAGAAAACTCATTGTTGTTTAATTTTGTGTTAAAATGAAACAAAACCAACATGTTTCTAATTTTAGAAATGTATCTTTTTAAGTGCTCCTTCAGGGTTAGGCCCAGTTATTATGACAGTGGGTTTTAGAGACCATGCCTAAAATAAAACAAGAGATAAATACCTCCTGAGAGAGGCAACAGCCACAGGACCAGTTCTGGGAGGGACAGGAGGGGGAGGAGAACCCATTACCATCTCAGGAAGCTGAGAAAATCTATAAGCCTGTAACAGAGAAAAATACATATTTTTTGAAACACCAGTAGATCTCAGTCAAATTGAAAAACAAAACAAAATCAGAACTTAAATGTTGCAGTGTGCTGTAAACTGTTTTAAACTCCCGGGTCCCTTACCCAGGTGTGCCTATACCTCTCTCCCTTCCCCCTTGCCCCCATGCTGAGTGAGTCCTGTCAATCAGGCTTACCATTCCAGCAAGGCGTCGTGTGGTTGGTCAGGTTCAAAGGATGCCCCTCAGGCCCAGGGGTCAGTGGCCTGTCTAGGTGTCCCTCGTCCCTTGAGACCCTGCCCCTCTCACCTGGTTGCGTGGCTCACCTGTACCTCCCCTCCCCCTGTCCCTGAGCTTAAAAAGGAATCAGACCATGCGGCCGGGATTCTGTTGGAGCAGTTGCCCACGTTCAGACCTCTGTAACCATGGAATAAACCTCTGGATTAAACCCTCCAGCAGAATCCATCTCCTTTTCTCTTCACCATCGCCAGAAGCTCTTCCTCCTGAGGTAAACGGAGTTCCTGGCAAGCCTGGACTTGTTCAGTGCCCAGCTGCAACCACCAGCAAGCCAATGTATCTCTGGGGTGATTACACCACAGTTGCTGCCTTTGGCCCAGCAGCGAGGGTCAGACTGGCCCAGGCACAATCTAACTGGTAATATTGGGATTCGTATTCCAATACAAAATACCAGGTAAGAATTCTCTGAGGAAAAAGGAAAAGCCAGGTGTTTTTATAATCCCTACAAATTTGTGTTTTGAAGAATCCAAACATAAACTTAACCCTTGAGCATTTATGTTTATATAATTCATTATACTCACAGGAAACAACATTAGGAATTGATTACTGCTGGTATCACCCCCTTCATAGCTGTGCGGACTAAGTTGATTCCAGTCATGTACAGAACTTGTGGCATTTTACTTCTACAATTGTAATTGTTATCCCAACCTCAATTTGAACCTGAAATGTCACCAGACTATCCTTTTTAGGTTAAAATAGAAAATAAGATATTGGAGCCTTTTGACTTCAGTAGTGTAACTCTGCTGAGTTTTCAAGATCCATCTGTAAATTAGTTTGGCTTTGAGCTTGTTCAGGGAAAAATGGATGGTTTAACACCTAGAGGAAAAAATTGGAATGTATTAGCACCAGACCTCTTCCTACTTTATCAGATATTGTTCTAGGCGTGGTTCTAGGTACATCCTAGGCATAGTTCTAGGTGCGTTCTAGATACAGTTCTAGGTACGTTCTAGATCTAGTTCTAGGTGTGTTCTAGATGCAGTTCTAGGTACGTTCTAGGTGTGTTCTAGATATAGTTCTAGGTGTGTTCTAGATCAAGTTCTAAGTATGGTTCTGGATATAGTTCTAAGTATGGTTCTATGATATATATAATTATCCATAATATATAAAATATAACATTATATATAAGCATATATATAATATAATATATAAAGTATATATTCTATTTACAAATATTAATTGGGTTCACTCCAAGGATGAATTGAATTTGGCTGCTCAGTCATGCAACAAGCCGGTCCTTCATCTGAATGGATGTGCTTGCTTGAATGCTGTGTCTCCGCCCCCTGCTTGCCCCCTGACCCCGCCCCCTGTTCCCACAGTTTCCCTGCCCCTTGCCTGCCCCCTGTCCCTGCCCCCTGTGCCCATTGCATCCCCGCCCCCTCCCCTGGTTCCCACGGTGGGGACACACCCACTGCCTGTCCCCAAACCTGTAGCTGTGATCCTAATGCTTCTGATTCAAGGGATACAGAGCAGGGAACAGCATGCCCAATGCATAATCCCATGTTGCCACTGGCTCCTGTTACCTTTCAGCCTGCAGCTCAGGGAGCAGCCCCAACTGCTAATTGGAGTTCTTTTGGACGACAATTGATTAAAGAGACCTGTAAATCTCATAAAGAATATGGTCCACACAGTCCATATTTCCGTGGCCTTTTAAATTCTGAATTGAGTAGGACTGTGGTGATCCCACATGATTTTAGACAGCTTTTTTCCTGTCTCATGACCTCCACAGAATTCAAATTATGGGAAATAGCATGGAAACAACTGCTAAAAGATGCTCTCCCAGGCTTGCATGCTGATCCAAACACAGCCAAAGACAACAGTGGTAACCCTATTACCATTGAGCACCTCTGTGGTGAGGGCCAATGGTCTTCACCCTCAGTCCAAGCTACTGCAATTCCTGCAGAAACACTCAAGAAAGTAAAAGAAGCAGCTGAAAAAGCATTCTTTTCCCTCCAACCTGAGGGGCCTTTTGAGCCCTATAGTAAAATTAAACAGCTACCATCAGAGCCTTTTTTGAAATTTGTAGAAAGGTTAACTAGAGCCATTGAAATACAAGTTAAAAAAGTGAATGCTAGGGAAGCAATTTTAGAGGAAATGGCATTTACAAATGCAAATGCACAGTGTCAAGCAGCAATCCTGAGCTTTCCTAAAACACCTCACCCTATCCTAAAAGATATACTTCTAGTCTGTAACAGGAAAGTGTCTCTGATGAGTGTGGCTGAAGACTCCAGACCAAGGCTGCTGCCAAGACCACCTCAGCGTGCCGCCATTGCCAGCCCTGCGCCTTTCCCCTCAGCACAGCAGTACCCTGGGCAGCAGTGGAGACCAGCAATGGCTGAGCCCACAAAACCATGCCTGCTTGGTAATAACCTAGGGCACTGGAGTAACCAGTGCCCCCTGAAAAGGGAAATTGATGAATTTAGAAATGGCAGGGGAGGAGAACTACAAGCCCTCCCTGGGGGTCAACAACAACAAAAAACTGAAAAGGGAGCGCCGGCCTGCCAGGCGTGCAGACACAAAAAGAGCAGGCCAAGGGAATAAGGGTAGCAAAACAAATCAAGCGCGCGATAATATTAATATTTGTGTAAGTGAAGCAGGTGCTTCAAAGACCAAGTCTGCTGGTCCACTGTTGAAAGTGAAACAAAATAACCTTTGTTATGATTTAGGTGATCCTGTGTTAACCACGTTGCAGCTGACAGAGTCACTCCACCTGGAGGACACTGACTGGCATTTTGTCTCTGTAAATCCTGAACAGAAGGGTACATGGAACCGAATTCGTTGTAAGTACATCGTCATTGGGGACACCAAACACACACCACAAGAGATCGAAATTGCTCCAGGAACGACAACATCAGATCCTGAGCAATTCGTTCTCGGCCTGCATTGTTTCCACCCACCCCTGTTTCTTCCCAAGGAACAAATTGTTGCACAAGCTATCCCTGTGCCACCTTTACCTGAAAATATCGAAAAACAAGGGCCCACAGTCGCCCGGGTCCAAGTTATTGGTAAAGATAAACCCAAATTATGGTGCAATGTCAGTGGGGGTGGGGAGTCAAAACGCATTAAGATGCTTGTGGACACAGGTGCAGACTGCACAGTGATTCCAGTACAAGACTGGCCAGCACATTGGCCTTTGCAAAATGTTGCCGGTCACCTTCGAGGTGCAGGAGGTCTGCAATTGGCAAGACAATCCAAAAGCATTATTCAATTTGAGGGACCAAACGGACAATTGGCAAATATCCGTCCCTTTGTGTTAGATTATTCGGAACCTTTGTTAGGGAGAGATTATATGGCCCAGTGGGGTGTCACAATTGATATTCCAGACTCTCCACAGCATATTTGTACAGCAGTCATTGAACAACAGCGTCCCACCCAAAAACTGAAGTGGAAAACAGACAAACCAGTTGATGTGAAACAGTGGCCACTCAGTAAACAAAAAATAAAGGTGCTTGAGGAACTAGTAGAAGAGCAACTAAAAAAGGGTCACATTGTGGAGACCATGTCCCCATGGAACTCTCCAGCGTTTGTCATCCAAAAAGCTGACAAAAAGAGATGGCGGCTCCCCTGCGACCTCCAAAAAATTAATAATGTAATTGAAGATATGGGTTCTCCCCAACCTGCTATGCCATCCCCAACAATGCTTCCCCAAGATTGGAAATTAGCTGTTATTGATATTAAAGATTGTTTTTGCCAAATCCCCTTGCACCCTGACGATGCACCACATTTTGCATTCTCAGTCCCCTCCATCAATTTAGAAGCCCCTATGAAAAGGTACCATTGGACCGTTCTTCCTCAGGGATTAAAGGTATCTCCAGCTATCTGCCAGTGGTATGTCTCTTCCCTGCTTTCCCCAGTACGTGCAGCCACAGAGAAAGCCATTATCTATCATTACATGGATGATATCCTTGCCCCCAGTGATGATTTACTCACACATGCGCTTGACCTAACGATCGATGCATTGATTGTTGCAGGGTTCGAGCTCCAGGAAAAGAAAATTCAAAAGATGCCACCTTGGAAGTATTTGGGCTTAGAAATTGGAAATAGGACCATTGTTCCTCAAAAACTAGAAATCAATCCAAGTATCAAGATGCTTACGGATGTCCACAAGTTGTGTGGGTCTTTGAATTGGGTAAGACCATGGCTCGGTCTGACTAATGAAGACCTTGCCCCTCTTTTCAATTTATTGAAAGGGGGAGAGGACCCAGGTGCTCCTAGGGCTATTACCCCAGAGGCACGGAAAGCTCTAGAAAAGGTTCAGATTGCAATATCCACAAGACAGGCCAACCGATGCCGGCCTGACCTGCCATTCAAATTTATCATTCTAGGTAAGTTGCCACACCTTCATGGAATTATTTTCCAGTGGGAGGAAAAACAAACACCTAAGGCAAAGAACACACCAAAAAAGGACCGGGACCAGAGGCACCCTCTCTTGTTCATAGAATGGGTTTTCCTCAGTCACAAAAGGTCCAAGAGACTGACAAAGCCTCAGGAGCTGATAGCGGAACTGATCAGGAAAGCAAGGACCCAGATCAGGGAGTTAGCAGGATGTGATTTTAAGTGCATTCACATTCCAGTTGAGTTAAAATCAGGTCAAAATACTATGAAAATACTGGAACAATTGTTTCAAGAAAGTGAAGTGTTGCAGTTTGCTCTGGATTCTTACTCAGGACAAATTTCGGTAGCGCGGCCCGCTCACAAATTGTTT